TTAATTGTTCTCACTGCCAAGATTTTTCTCCTTAGTTCTAGGTGGTGTCTCCCTCTGAGCTTCCACCTGTTACTTCTTTTCCTGCCCGCTGGTGCTTTGGAGAATTTGTGGCAGCCCCTCAAATATTGGAAGACGGCTATCATGTCCCCCCTAATCCTTCTCTTTGTTAGACTAGGGCAGGGGTAGGCAACCTTGGCTCTTTTATGACTCATGGACTTCAACTCCCAGAATTCCTGAGCCAGCCATGCTGAGGGGAAAGGGAGAGGCTTCCAAGCTGAGCCAGGCTGGCTCAGGAGTTCTGGGAGTTGAAGTCCACAAATCATAAAAGAGCCAAAGTTGCCCACCCCTGGACTAGATATACTGAATTGGCCAAGGGCCCCAGGATGGCCCCACATAACTGCAACCATCTTGAGTTATTCAATTCCAGATGTTGCTCCTCTTCCTCCTTCTCCTCTTCCTCCACCACCACCACCTCCTCCTCCTCCTCCTCCTTCCACACCTCAGCTCATTTCTGGCAGCATGCCTGCTGTTCACCCAGAAAAGCAGCTCCACAATCAAGAGCACTCTAGATATGTGGCAGCCACAATTCCAAAGATGTTGAGCCAGATCGAGTTCTTTAGGAGGAGGTCAGGTTAATTAACAGGAAATGCCAACCACACAAACTGGTCTTTCTCCATGGAAAGCTGGAGAACCCATCACGGAAACCTGCCTTGGCCTGCTCTTGGTTTTACTACATAACCACCTGTGAGGACAAGAAGTTGTGTCACAGGACAAGAAGTTACAGTTGCTGAAGCTCAGATGGAGACACCACAGCCCAACAGTCAGCAACCATTGGAAAGTTACCCAATCTGCTGGGAACTCACCTCTGGGAGAGGGAGAGCCAGGTGTGTCATTTTCAGTTTTACATAGTAAGGCAAGGTATAAACCCAGCAAGGGAATGAACAAGCTGCTTTCCCGTGGTGGTGCAGTGATTAGAATGCAGTGATGTGCGGCTAGCTCACTGTTCACTGCCACGAGTTCGAGCCTGACCGGCTCAAGGTGGACTCAGCCTTCCATCCTTCCCAGGTTGGTAAGAATGAGGACCCAGATTGTTCAGGGCAGTCTGCTAACTCTATAAACCACTTAGAGAGGGCTGCAGAGCACTGTGAAGTGGTACAGTATATAAGTCTGTCAGTGCTAGCTCACCGATTTTAGCCCTGATCTTGACCATTAGACCACATAGGGATTATATCACTGTGACGTGTGCCAAACCTCTGTGGCAATGTGGTTCTTTCAACCCAGAATCTCACTCTTCCTGGCATGCTGCTTTTCCCTTCCTACCACGCAAGATTAATCCTAACTGCAGAGGAGGAGGAGGAAGGCACAGAAAAGCCATCCAGCAGCCGTGTCCAACTTCCACCAGCCTGAAGCCTCCCCGTTACCTTTGGGGAAAGTCTCAACTGGGCCTGATGTCACCGTCTTTCCTAAATGAAAGTTATTGTAAAAATCTGTCACTGTTCCTGTGCCAATGGGAGCTGATGGAACAGGAAAAAAATAACACAGCATTCCTAGTACAGGTCAACATCTAGGCCAGGGGTAGGCAACTTTGGCTCTTTTATGACTCGTGGACTTCAACTCCCAGAATTCCTGAGCCAGCATGAGGGAAACTTTGGCCCCGTCATGACTCGTGGACTTCAACTCCCAGAATTCCTGAGCCAGCATGAGGGAAACTTTGGCCCCGTCATGACTCGTGGACTTCAACTCCCAGAATTCCTGAGCCAGCATGGCTCAGCTTGGAAACCTCTCCCTTTCCCCTCAGCATGGCTGGCTCAGGAATTCTGGGAGTTGAAGTCCACGAGTCATAAAAGAGCCAAGGTTGCCTACCCCTGATCTAGGCAATATAATTATATCCATGAAGCTCTCTAAGGGTTCCTCTTTGTTGGTCATCTTTGGGTGGGGGTCTCCAAAGGTTGCATGAGCCCCTCCCAGCTGGCTTGTTTAAAGTTAGCTGCATTGGCCATTATCCTGAATATGCCCTTTGCTGCCCTCAACTCATCAGATTGTTTGCTAAAAAAAGAGCTGTCTCTTCCTGAACTCAATCAAATCCTACTACTGTTTGGTTGGGCCGTGAAGAGAGCCAGGCTGCGGTCCCCATGACTGGAAAATCATGGTTTATCAGCTAGCAGAGGTGGGCTCAACAAATCTCAAAAAAAAAAAACCTGAGAGCCCGTTTGGTCCAGTGGTTAAGGCACCAGCTAGAAACAAGGAGACCATGAGTTCTAGTCACACCTTAGGCATGAATACCAGCTGGGTGACTTTGGGCCAATCACCAGGAGACGGTGAGTTCTAGTCCTGCCTTAGGCTTGAAAGCCAGCTGACTAACCCCACAGGGTTGGTGTTGTGGGGCAAGGAGGAGGAGGAAGGTATATGGGATATATTCGCCATCTTGAATTATTTGTATAAATAATGAAGGCAAGATATACATATATATATACATATATATACATACATACATATATATATTTGTTTTTTTCCGTAGATTTTCACGGGTACAGGTATGCAGGTCTTGGCGTATTCGGGTCTTTTCCCGTGTAAGATTGAGAGTATCTTGGCGATGTTTCGACGAGGTCCCACTCGTCATCTTCAGGCTGGGGTCTTCGGCTTCGTGCTTGTGCGAGCAAAGTGTGATCGGAGCTGCCGTCTCTCTATAAATACTGGTGGGGGGTGGTGCTGGCTTAGTTGCTGTAGGTGGATTGGTTGGCTGTGTGGGAGCCATTGTTTGTGGATTGTTTGGCTGTTTCATAACATCCTGAGTAGTTGAGGTGCTGGCTGTGTGACCATTAGTCTTTTGTGTTATAACGACCTGGGTAATGGGCTGTGTGATTACATCCTGAGATCTACTGTAGTGACATCCTGAGTTTTGTGTTGCAACATCCTGGGTGGTTGGCTAGCCATCAGTGGGGTAGCTGTTTTTATAGGAACGGTGCCTTTTGCACCCAGCTCCTAGATCTCGTAGTTTTTAACCTCCTGGTGGTCTCACAGTTTGTGACCCTTCGAACATGAATTTACCCAGGAGTCATCCTCCAATTTTTAGAATTTTAAAGGATATATATATATATATAAGTGTGTGTGTGTGTAGGTCTTTGGTTATTCGGGTTTTCTCCCGCGTAAAACTGGAAGTGTCTTGGCGACGTTTCGACGAAGTCCCATTCGTCATCTTCAGGCTGGTGTCTTCAGCTTCGTGCCCGAATGACCAAACCCGAATGACCAAAGACCTACATACAAACACCCAAGCAATTGCAGAGGAAGAAGGCAGACGCAAGGGGCAGAAAAAAAAACACATCATAAGGCAGGAGAGCTAAGAGCTGGCAAGGGAGGCAGCGAGAAAGCTAATCATTAGTAAACCAAGTTTGCCGATTGCTGTCGGTATCACGCACCACCCTTTCCATATTTGCTCTAGCATAGATCGGCCTCCATTCCACCCAGGCTTACCTTTTACCTGAACCCTTAAGAAATCAACTCTGAACTAAATAGATACACGATCAACTCCGATACGTCCCTCAGCCTGAAGCAGGAGCACATATTATTGTGGCCGTGCCTGTGTGATACATGCAGGTGAGACAGCCAAGTCAAAAGAGCATGTCAGGAGAAGCCACAGACAGCCACGTGCATGATGCCACCACCAAGACAATGGCAAAAATGCACTAAGAATCACAGTGAAGGTAATTTTGCTTTTTTTCCCCTATTGTGCCATGTTTCATCCTCTCAAAAATGATTCCAGCACTAACTTTCATGGACTACACCCATGCAACAGTTAAGTAAAATGTCGCTCTGGGAAATATTTGCTGCTCTACCTATCTACTGATGGATCTATCCTTGATATTGTGGCTTGAGAGCGTGTGTGGCCATGCATAAAACAAGCCTTGGGTACAATGCTCATATTCTTTCACTGACATGCAACGTGATAAGAATTGCAGATTTTGCAAGGGCCGTTTTTGGTTGTTCTTCTGTCATCATAATCTTTCACTGCTTTTACTGCAACTTTCTTTCTATCTTCTCTCTCTTTTGCAACTGAGGAAGGAGCAGAAAAGTCACCACCAGCAACTCCAAATAAACTGGAGTTTTCTTTCATCCCAGCCTTCTGACTAGCAGAAGCCTCCAGCACAAGCTTCATGGGCAAAACTGGCTCAGTGCCCAATGAAGCTCCCCAGAAAATAGAAACCCTGGGGGGGGGCACCCCAGTGCATCAGCTGAGCCCGTTTAGGAAAAAACCAGAACTTAACAGCTGTAGTTGCCTGGACCACTTTGAACGGCTGCAGGGACTGAAATGGAGAACCCTTGAAATAAACAGGTGTCCACGCTCACCTACTATGGCCCTCAGGACAAGCTCTCCAAATTGTACAGGTATCACACCCAGCACCCATCGTGCACAGCCAATCCTAACTGCTGACTCAGTAAAGCGGTATATAAGTCTAAGGGCTGTTGCAATTGCTTCCAGGCTATCATTCCCGAGAGAGAGCAGCTATTCAGGCATCTGCTTTGGTTAATTATGGCTCTGAGTTCAAGAAGCAGCCTAGACGTGTTGGAGGGAGCATGGGACCCACCCCCCAAGCGGGTAGCGCCTGCCAGCCGTGGACTTCAACTCCCAGAATTCCCCGGGCATCTTGGCCCCCTCAGAGAAGGCCGCCAGATGAAGTCCGAGCGCCCACAAGGGCCCGCCTGGGAAAGACCGAAGCGGCGGCTCGGGAGCGGGATGCGGGCTCAGCGACCCGCCGTCGCCACCGGCCTCGGGCTGGGCGATGGAGAGGCAGCGGGGACAGAGGGGCGAGGCAGCCCGGCTCTTTCGGCCGCGCGTCTTCCCCCGCTCGCGGCCGTTTTCAGCTTCCGCGCCTTCCAGGCTCGGCCTTGCGTTGGCCCCGCGGAAGGAGAGCCCGCCGCCTCGCCCTCGGCCGAGCATCCCGCCGGGAGGCTGCAGCCGCCCCGGGGGAGCCCGCGCGTGGCCCTCGCCCGCCGCCCCTTACCTGCTCGGCTTCCCCGTCGGGCTCCAGCTCGCCCAGGTAGTACTGCTGGAGCCAGCGGCGCGCGTTGGCCGAGTGCCGGTGCGGCGGGCCGTCCAGCGCCTCGCTCACGTCGGTGCCGGCCCGCTCCAGCAGCAAGCGCGGCCCGCCCGGGTGGAGGGGCGCGAAGGCGCTGAGGTCGTAGAGGCGGCGGCCGGTCAGCACCAGGCAGGCGCCCTGGGCGCAGCGGGCGCGCAGCTCAGCGCGGCTGAAGGAGCCGGTCGTCGTCGGGGCAGCCATCGCGGAGCGTCTGGCGGGGCTGGGCGCGCTGGACGGGCACCTGCCGGCCTCATGCAGGCCAACCCGCCCNAGCGGAGCGTCCCCGCAGACGCGCCGGGTCTCCTTCGCACCACCCGCGCGCGGCTGGCCGGCTCGGGCAGAGGGACGAGGCGGCGTAGCGGACCCGCCAAGCGGGCGGGAAGCCCCGGCCTCGGCGGGCCTGCGACTGCCCCGGTGCAGCGAGGGGGGGGAAGGCCCGGCTCTTGGGACGGGGCGGGCGGGCGGACGGCCGCGGCACAGCGAGGAGCGGTCCGCAGAGCGCCGGGAGCCTCCCGCCTCGTAACCCTCCCGGCGCGAAAATCTGGCTTGCCCGGGAAGGTGTCCTGCGCCTCTCCCCCCCCCGCCCCGCTCAGCGGAGCCTGAGAACCAGCCCGGTCCAGCGGGAGGACACGGGACTAGGAGCCTCGATTTACAACGGTTCATTTAGTGACCGCTCAAAGTTACACAACGGCACTGGAAAAAGTGACATGCCTGTTTTTCACACTTATGACCATTATTAAAACCAGTACATACTAAAATAGTAAAACAACGGATAACAATTATAATAAAGTTTTGCCAGAAATTGGCAAAAAAACCATTGCCAATTGCAGTCATGTGACCCCAGGAGTCAGAAGTGGATGGTTTGTGCTTTACTGACTGTTAACGGTGGTTAAATTACCAGTCATAAGTCAAGGACTTCTTATACTCAAGAATGGGCAAAGAGGTACAGGTAGTCCTCGACTTACAACAGTTCATTTAGTGACCATTCATTACAACAGCAGTGAAGAAAGTGACTTATGACCATTTTCCACACTTACGACCATTGCAGCCTCCCCATGGGCACATATTCAAAAGTCAGATGCTTGGCAACTGACTCATATTTATGACGGTCGCAGTGTCCTGGGGGTCATGTGATCCCGTTTTGTGACCTGACAAGCAAAGTCAATGGGGGAAGCCAGATCCACTTAACGACCATGTTACTAATTTAACAACTGCACTGATTCACTTAACAACCGGGGCAAGAAAAGTTGTAAAATGGGGCAAACTCGCTTAACAAATGTTTCACTTACCAACTTAAATTTTGGGCTCCATTGTGGTCGTAAGTCAAGGTCTACTTGTACTCCCCAATGGTGTTGTGGTTAGGGGACAAAGGAGGAGGGACCACTCTCTCTGCTTCCTTGAGATCCTGAATAAAAAACAAGCTACGTTTATATCTAATAAACAAACTTTGCCAGCCAAAAGGTAGAGGAGGGAATGAAATGGTTGAGGACAGAGGTCTTCAAACTTGGCCCTTTTATGACTTGTGGACTTCAACTCCCAGAATTCCTCAGCCAGGCACTCTCTTCTCCCCATTACCTGGGAAGTAATGGCCAATTTCATGCTGGTCTTCTTGTCTGCTGAAATAATGGCCCTCAAGAGAGGGAAAGTGCCAGGATGGTGGGGTCCTGCCCGCTTTTCGGTGGGGGAAATTAAAACTGTCAGGATAGTAACCTCAGTTGCAACAATCCAAACAGCATCCCCTTTTTACGTGCAATGCAAGTAACGATGCTATGAACAAATGTTGTCCAAAAAACGCTAACAAAAGGAATGACAGATCAGATGTAGAGCAGACTTTGTTTGAGATAAGTACTATCTATCTATCTATCTATCTATCTATCTATCTATCTATCTATCTATCTATCTATCACCTATCTATCTATCTCCCTCCCCACCCCAGTGCAGACCTTGCTTCAGGTTTCCTGGTGGGCTTGGAAGAGACCTCCGGAGGCTGCCCCAGCCACGCCAGGTTCAAACACATCCTGCATCGTCCTTTTTACTTCTGTCCCAAGCAGCAGAAAGGAATGGAATGTTCCTAAAGCAAATCAGATCCAAACCTGTTTTATGATGGCCTGATGTGATATCCTGATTCCCACATCAGGTTTATAGCAATGGCCACCTTCTCAAGCATGCCTGACCAACCTTTTTTTATCTTCATCTAAAGTTCTGCGCACTCCATAGCAATCAATTGTGATAAGTTGTGAGCTCGACTGTAATTAATACTTTTATGCACACCACCCAGTGTCCATTTCTGCCCCTCCTTGCCCCATATTTTACAGAACTGGTATTTCATTTGTGGGACAAATTGTGGTCATCAGTAGGATTCAAGATAGGGAGACATGCATAGCAGTTGGGAACACCCCATTCAGCCTGCCCCACCTTTCCAGAGCAAAAGGCAGAAATGCTACAGGGGGCTGTGGGAAACCAGGAAAAGATACCGCAGGACCTCCTGATCGTGGTTAAATTGTGCTTTTGATGTGGACTTGCTCACAATGCAGAAAGAGGCGACGCACAGCTCATTATGTTTGCCAAGTTGTAGATGTTTTAGAATGAGACCCGTGTCCACGAAAGTTGACACCTTTTAAGAAAGCTTGTTAATCGAACAGATACCGCCAGACTCCTTCATTTCTCAAAACCAACTCTGGAGGGCAGTCATGACTTGGTCTGTAAACACTGATCAACAATACGCTGCCTCATTTTGTGTAAAATGATGTGGTCCAAATAGGGTTTTCCGATGCAAAGTTTAAAAACAGAGGTTTGTTGTCTAACAATTAAGAAATGTGGGTGTGATTTTCACATACATACCTTTGATAAGGAAAAAGAGATGTTTCTGGGATTGGCTTCATCTGGAATTCACAGTCCAAGAGAATAATAGAGTCGGAAGGGACCTTGGAGGTCTTCTAGTCCAGCCCCCTGCTCAAGCAGGAGACAAGATACGTAGCTGGGCATTTTCCAGGATTTTTATTGGTGTTGCATTTTTCCTCCCTGCCAATTCTTCATTTTTTTTAAGGAGATGGAGAAAATTATCTTAAATTCAGGGCTGTCCTCCTTTTGGAGTAATACAATATATGAAAGTCCTAAATCAAGTGTACAAACTTCACCTATCTATACAGGTAGGCCTCAACTTACGACCACAATTGAGCCCAAAAATTCTGTTTCTAAGTGAGACATTTGGAATTGGGTATGTCAGCTATTTTCCAAAGCGCCTGAAGGCAGGACAAGAAGCAACGGATGGAAACTAACCAAAGAGAGAAGCAACCTAGAACTAAGGAGAAACTTCCTGACAGTTAGAACAATTAACCTGTGGAACAACCTGCCTCCAGAAGCGGTGAATGCTCCAACACTGGAAGTTTTTAAGAAGAGACTGAACAGCCATTTTTCTGAAATGATATAGGGTTTCCTGCCTGAGCAGGGGGTTGGACTCGATGACCTCCAAGGTCCCTTCCCACATTATTATTATTATTATTATTATGGATCATCGCACAGTCAGCCAGATGTTCAGACTGGATTTGGCATTTTGTCTACCTATCGAGTCCTTACCCAGGACCTGGGATAGGCATTATTGTTATTATTATTATTATTATTATTATTATTATTATTATTATTATTATTATTATTATTATTATTATTATTATTATTATTAGTTGTTAACTGAATCACTGCAGTTTTTAAGTTAGTAACACAGTTGTTAAATGAAGCAGGTATGTCTATTGACTTTGTCTGAAGGTGACAATTTAACAAAAGGCAAAAGGCAACTGGACTTTCTTTTGAAAACATTTCTCTTCTCATCCAAGAAGCTTCTTCAGTTTTAACTAACTGGTGGGGAATGGAAGGATTTGCGTTCTTTTCAGTCATCTGGTTGTTAGTACTCGAAAAGTCTGAATGACAATCTTCATAAACATCCTTCCATCACAGTACAATAAAATATGACCCACCCTGTCAGGATCAATACTATTACAGGGATAAAATCTTTGAGAAATTGGATTTTTTTTTAAAAAAAAAAAATCATATGCAGGCAGTCCTTGACTTACAATCGTTCATTTAGCAAGTGTTCAAAGTGACAACACCACTGAAAAATAGTTACTTATGACCGGTCCTCACACTTAACCAATGTCATAGCATGTCCACAGTGATAACGATCAAAATTCGGTGCTAGATAATGTATTTATGACGGTTGCAACATTCCAGGTCATGAGATGGTCATTTGCCATCTTCTCGGCCAGCTTCCAACCTGAAAAGTCAGTAGCTGGAAGCCAGATTCGCTTAATGACCACATGCAATTCACATAACAATTGCAGTAATTGGTTTATCAATTGTGTCCCAAAATTTATAAAATTGGTTGTGACTCCATTCACAATAATAATAATAATAATGATAAAGTTGGAAGGGACCTTGGAGGTCATCTAGTCCAACCTCCTGCTCAAGCAAAAGACCGTATGCCATTCCAGACCACTGGCTGTCCAGTCTCTTCTTAAAAACGTCCAGTGTTGGAGCATTCACCGCTTCTGGAGGCAGGTTGTTCCACTGGTTAATTGTTCTAACTGTCAGGAAGTTTCTCCTTAGTTCTAGGTTGCTTCTCTCTCTGGTTAGTTTCACTTAATAACTGCCTTGGGATCAGAATTTTGATCGTAAGTTGAGGATTACCTGTGGCATATTTGATGGCAACATATTTATCTGGGTTTTGGTAAGGCCATTGTGTATTCACTTAAATATAAGCTTTTCAAATATTTAGGGCGTTGAAAAAAAGTATCTATACTACAGTTAATTCCAAAAGTTAGAGATGTTTACAATGCTTTGGATTTGTAATTCCTGAGGATAATTCCTGAGTTGAATCACCCCATATTTTTTGTTTGAAGAAATGCTAACAATATGTTCCTGGGGATTAAATAATCAAGATCAGTGTCAAGCTGACTCTTTTAAGGCACGTCTTTAATATGTCTTTAAGCCACATATTTATAGAGGATGTTCTTGAGATTTCCTTCCTTGGGGTTAAAAGCAAATATTTCTAACCAAAATTTAATAACGCTTAACCAAGCCTTTGTTAATAACTGTGCTGCTCTATTTCAGAGTTGGCAGCTGTGCTACAGTATATTATTATTATTATTAACAAATGTTAAAACAAATGTTCCTCAAGGTAAAAGTTTAAATTTTCATGTAAAGGTTTT